TTGCCTCCACTCCACACCTCTGTCTGGCAAACATGACTCATTCCTTCTCAGGGACAATTAGTCACCTCATCTTCCAGTGCCCCCACCACACTTGGGAAATGCTTCAGTCATTTCTTTTGCAAACACACCTACTATGTGCCAGACGATGCCCCTGGGCTTTGTAAATGTTAACTCTTGCTATTTTCTAACCCCAGGTCCAGAGACTTGGCTCAGAGATAGTGCCTGGGGATTAAGCAATCCATAAAACAGCCCTTTATCTCTTCCCCAATAATAACATAATCAGGCCATTATTATTATTGTCCCTGTTACAGATGAGGAATCTAAGGCCCGCAAAAGGCTGAGTCACTGGCCACAGCTAAAAGTGAATACTTTCAAACCCAGGTGGTGTGGTCCTGGAGTCTGAGTTCTGAGTCGTTTTACATGTGGCCCCTCTGAGGCGATAAGTATCACTGAGTACTTACTGTTAAACTATCAGCACAGGGCTGGGGTTGTGACTCAGTGGTAGAGCACTTGCCTAGCATGTGCGAGGCCCTGGGTTCGATCCTCAGCACCGCATAAAAATAAATAAATAAAAAATAAAGATATTGTGTCCAACTACAGCTAAAAAATAAACATTAACACAAAATGGGCAATATTGAACCTTTTCTTTTAACCTATAAAAAGCAGCAGATTTGTACAGTTCAGCATGCAGGGCACTTAGAATACAGTAGAAAACTCAACAGCAGGCAGAGGCCGCTGTAGGGAGAAGACAGTGACAGAGCATGGCAGTGGCGAGAGGACAGGGAGCTGAGTGCAGGGCTCTGTGAGGCCCACTGAATAAAAGATGTGTAAGAGAAGCCCCCACAGAGGAGCGAGAGGTGGAGGGGGTGTATTGGGGTGATGGTAACAAAGGCACTTACAGGCATAGACACCCCTGAAAGAGCTGCCCAGTCTGTCACCATTGTGGCCCAGCAATTAGTACCTGGCGGAGAGCAGGTGCTCAAAAAGGATGGGTCAAAAGAATGAACGAACAAGGTGAGGTGGTGCACACCTGTCCTCCAAGCTATTCAGGAGGCTGAGGCAGGAGGATCATAAGTCGGAGGCCAACCTGGGCGAGTTAGCAAGATGCTGTCTCCAAAAATAAATAAACAAACAAAAGGGCTAGTGGTAAGCTCAGTGGTAGAGCTGCCCTGGGTTCGATGCCCAATATTTAAAAGGAAAAAAATGAATGAATGAAAAATGGAATTACCGGACTGTAATCCCAGCTCCTCAGGAGGCTGAGGCAGGAGAATCACAAGTTAGAGGCCAGTCTCAGCAACTTAGCAAGAACCTAAGCAACTGAATGAGACCCTGTCTCAAAATAAAAACTGCTGAACACAGGATGAGGAATTAGATCAGAAGAACTGAATCAGATGCTGAGAGTGATCAGGAGGGTGGGGGAATTCTGGCTAAACTTTCTTAGCAGGATTCTTGCTAAAATTGGACAATACAGAACAAACACAGAAGTTCAAAAGTGAGGGCCTCCTCATTGAAGAGTTCAGGAGAGCCTGAGTTGGTTTGGAAAGAGAGACTCTGAGTGATCCGTTCATATGTTCTTTTTATATTGTTTCATTTTAAAGATGACTTTTATGAAGTATAATTACAAATAGTAAAATTCATCTTTTCTGGGTACAAATGCATCTGATGCGTAGCCACCACCACAGATAAAGAGATAAGACAGTTCTATCCTCAAACAGCCCTTGGGTGCTGCCCCTTTGTGGCCAATCCCTCCTACGCCCCGGCAACCACCCATTTGTTTATTTGTTTGTTCTGTTGCTATAGTTTTGCTTTTCTAGGGCATCATATGAATGGAGTTATATAGTCAGTGGCCTTTTTTTTTTTTTTTAAATATACTGGGAATTGAACCCAGGGTCTTGCCCATGTGTGCCACCAATGAGCTACATCCCCTTTTGAATCTTGCTTTTTGTGCTTAAAATAATTATATATTTGAAACAAAAACTTCCTATTGTTGTGCATATCAGTAGTTGGTTACTTTTTTATTGCAGAGTTGAATTCCATAGTATAGATGCAACAGTTTGTTTATCTGATACTGAGCTCCTTGGCTATTAAATAAAGGATTCAAATTTGCTTAAAAAAAAATCAATGCATCTTGTGTTGCCAGAATTACTGTCTGGCTGCCTCTCCCATGATCAGCCAATTAAATTGAGAGGCCAGGTGTTGTGTCTCTGAAGGTGACTATTTGGCAAGCCAGCTCAGTAAGAGAAAAGGGGAGCCCTTTTTGCCAGGAAGCTGATCCAAGATGGTTTTTATATAGGTGGCCTTTGGGTGTTCCCCAGACTGGTGGGCGCCTTCCTGCAGCAGGAGGCCTGGATGATGCACACCCTACCTGATTACTTAGTCATGAGGTGTTTTTCAGTTTCAGCAATTCTCGAAATAATGATCATTATTTCTTTTGGCTAATCCTGCCACTCATTAGCCACATGTTATACAACAGACAGGCAAGAGATGGGCCTAGCTGCCCCAAGGCCCTCTTATTGAGCTGTCAGTTGATCATCAAACTCCTGGTAGTGAACAAGAATGCCCTTTCTCAGGACTGGGGTTGTGGCTCAATGGTAGAGCACTTGCCTAGCATGTGTGAGGCTCTGGGTTCGATTCTCAGCACTACATATAAATAAACAAATAAAATAAAGGTTCATCAACAACTTAAAAAGAAAAGAAAAGACTATCCTTTCTCTATGTGTTACATATTACAAATTCTCTGCAATGACCGCAAAACATCCTTCCTTTGTTAGTTGCAGAACCCAGCTAAGCACCCAAACATCCTCAATGCTTGGTTTCACTAGTTTGAATAAAGTGGGGTGGGCTGGTCCCTGCATGGCTGCCGTTTGTTCCCAGGCCTTCTCCTCGAGGGATGGTGAAGGGTGTACACGGGGTCAAGGGGTTTGCTCTCAGCACCCAGCCTAGGCACAGGCAGCTCACAGCTCAGATGTGAGAGAGAGTGTGGAGGAGGGTGGGGTGCAGGAGAGGTGCGATGAGTGGGTGGAGATTGAGTGCTTGGCTTTAGGAAAAAGACAAACAAAAGAGCGCCTGCTTCTGAGAGTAGAGCAAGCCAAAGTGCGTGCGTGTGTGAAAGCACAAGCTAATTGTTTCCTAGACCCCGGGAAGCCAATGGCAAAGGTGGCAAATGCCCAAGAGGCTGCAGCTCTTTTTCTGGCCGATAGATGGCGATGTTGTACTGCGTCTGGGTTCTGCCTCTGCAGTCACGCAGTTCAACAGTCCTGAAAGAATAGCCCCTGGGTTCAGGCAGTTAAGGACATTATAGACTCTGCCCACGTCCTTGAAGTGATGTCCCTCAGAACAGGGGTTCAAATCAGTTTTGCTGAGTTCTCTCCTTGTGCGGCCTCCATCTCTAGAGAGATCACAGTTTGTTGAAGCTTCAGCCTTAAGAGAGATGTCCAAATGCGGTGGGACAGCCAGCCATGACCACAAAGGGGCTGGTTCTGATCCTGTGGCCAATTTAAAGGTGCCCTCACCCATTTACCTTTCCCTGTGGTCCTTTGCGTCAGTAAAATTCCGAATTTCCAGCTTTAAAGCACTTGCTACTATAGAGGTACTAGGATGAAAGGGACACAAGGTCCCATTTTGCTGGAGGGCTTAGTTTATAAATAACTAATCTGGGCAAAGCAGACCAGAATGGAGGCAGGGTGACCTTCAGGTGGTGCCTACAGGATGGTTGTATGTGTTGCTAAAATATTGAAATGCTCCTCTTCTAGTTGGCAATTAGCTGTTGACCCAGCACTAGGCTTGCCAGATAAAATACAGAGCACTCTGTTAAATTTGGATTTCAGATAAACCATAGGTAATGTTTAATATGTTCTAAATGTCATCAAGGATGTATACTAAGAAATCCAGTATCTAGCTGGGTGTGGCCTGTAATCCCAGTGGCTTAGGAGGCTGAGACAGGAGATGGCAGGTTCAAAGCCAGCCTCAGCGACAGCGAGGTGCTAAGCACAGTGAGACCCTGTTTCTAAATAAAATACAAAATAGGGCTGGGGATGTGGCTCAATGGTCAAGTGCCCTGAGTTCAATCCCCAGTACTCAACAAAACAAAAAACAGGAGGAGGAGGAGGAGGGGGAGGGGAGGGGAGGGGGAGGAGGAGGAGGAGGAAGAATCCAGTATCTAAAATAGTCAAAAAATTGGGCTGGGGATGTGGCTCAAGTGGTAGCATGCTCTCCTAGCATGCGTGAGGCACTGGGTTCGATTCTCAGCACCACATAAAAATAAAATAAAGATATTGTGTCCACCTAAAACTAAAAAATAATTTAAAATAAAATAAAATAGTCAAAATAATAAAGACAAAGTAGAGTGGTGGTTGCCAGAAACTGGAAGGGGGATAGTTTGCTAGCAGACTGGGGAATTGTTATACAATGAGTAGAGTTTCAGTTTTGCAAAATGAAAAAATTCTAGTGATCCACTATATAACAGTGTATTTGCAGTTAACAAGACGGCATTGAATACTAAAATATTTGTTAAAAGAGCCTGGCACGGTGGCAACTCAGGAGGCTAAAGCAGGAGCTTCGCAAGTTTGAGACTAGCCTCAACAATGTAGTGAGACGCTGTTTCAAAAATTAAAAAATAAATGAAAAGGGGCTGGGAGTGTAGCTCAGTGATTAAGTGCCCCGGGTTCAATCCCCAGTACAAACAAACGAAAAAGAAAGAAAGAAAGGAGTAAAGAAATTTGTTAAGAGTGTTGATCTCATGCCCTCCCCTTTTAAATCTATAATAAGTAAATAAAGTTTAAAAAAGGGAAGCTCAGTCATGACAGGAAGGAGCACATGTGCTCTTTAAAAAATCTTTAATGCATATCAGAAGTTTAACTAGATGTGTTTTTATTTGCTCCATTTGGCAACCTTGTACAAACGCACCAGTCCCACCCTGAGTGACAGTCCCTTCCCTGAGATCCTGGTCTTCACCCTGAGTGCTAGTGTCCTATTTGATAAGTTGTTAACTATTTTGACTGTCACCCTTGGCTACAAGGGAGGTAGTCCAACGCCACAGCTGTCTCTCTTTTTCCCTCCCAGGCTTATCTCTGCTGCTGCCCCCAACCACCCTGGCAGCCCTGGCAGACAGCTGGCTCCGAGAAGACTGCCCAGGCCTCAACTTCGCCGCCTTGGTCACTGGGGCCGCCCCGTCGCAGGCAGCTCTGTGGGCCAAATCCCCCGGGGTCCTGGCTGGGCGGCCTTTCTTCGATGCCATCTTTGCCCAACTCAACTGCCAAGTCACTTGGCTCCTCCCCGAGGGATCGCAGCTGGTACCCGTGGTCCAGGTGGCGGAGGTGCGGGGCCCCGCCCACCGCCTGCTCCTGGGGGAGCGGGTGGCCCTTAACATGCTGGCCCGCTGCAGTGGCATTGCCAGCGCCGCCGCCACGGCTGTGAAGATCGCCAGGGGCACTGGCTGGACAGGGCACGTGGCGGGCACCAGGAAGACCACGCCAGGCTTCCGGCTGGTGGAGAAGTACGGGCTGCTGGTGGGCGGGGCTGCGTCGCACCGCTACGACCTGGGAGGGATGGTGATGGTGAAGGACAACCACGTGGTGGCCGCCGGTGGTGTGGAGAAGGTGCGTGTCTGTTGAGTCCCTGCCGCGTTTCGATCTGACCCTCGCCCCCACCACTGCCTGGTGGCCGGGGGTCAGGGAAACAACTCCTCCACCCCCAGCTGTCCCATCTGCTCAGGTGGCAGTCAGACTTGCCTGTCAATGGCAGGCGGTGGACCTTGGGTGGATCGCTTGAACTCTGGGCCTATTTCACAAGCTGTGGCACAGGGCCACCCTCAGTGTCTGTCCTTTTAATTTGAATATTGAGTCAAGCTGAACTCAGGTCCATTTTTTCACCCCCAACCATGGTCCTCTTATGTGGTTTAACCTCATAGAACCTCCCCGATGGGTTTCCTCATGAATCCCAGGTTCGTTATCCACCTGGGCCATTTTGAATGCCAGTGCCTTCTCCCTGGGGCCCTAGTGCCTGGTGCCAGGCCACCCATCCTCCCCCCCCCTCTCCTCCGCCTGGCAGGCAGTCAGGAGCGCCCGGCAGGCAGTCGACTTCGCTCTGAAGGTGGAGGTGGAGTGCAGCAGCCTGCAGGAGGCTGTGCGTGCAGCCGAGGCTGGGGCCGACCTGGTTCTGCTGGACAACTTCAAGCCTGAGGTGAGGTGGCCTCTGATTCCTGGGAGGGGGCTTTTGGGGGCTCTCACTTCCCCTTTCCTTGTGTCTTGCAGGAGCTGCATCCTATAGCCCAGGCACTGAAGGCCCAGTTCCCAAGAGTAGCTGTGGAAGCCAGTGGGGGTGTCACACTGAGCAACATCTCTCAGTTCTGTGGGCCCCACATTGATGTCATCTCTTTGGGGATGCTGACCCAGGCTGCCCCGGCCCTTGACTTCTCCCTCAAGTTGTTTGCTGAAGGGGCCACTCCAGTGCCCCATTCCCGCCGTTCCTAAAGCCAAAGAGGATACCACCACAGCCGTGTCAACATGACCTGCTGGGACCCTTTATGTTACACATCTTTAGGTTCAGTGGCCAACAGGATACACTTAGCATTAGGCTGGATTTGGCTCCAGCTCTGCCATTTACTGCTTCTGTGACCTGCCAGGGACTGACTTCACCTCAATTTCCTAATCTGTAGAATGAGCCTAATAAACACCTAAGCTTATAGGTTTGATACTTATCACATAGCAAGTATTAGAGTAAGTATTAGAGACCACCATAGTTCATCTATTCCAAGATGCACATTTGTTTTTCACATGCTACCTTCTAAGATGTCAGGGTGCCCCTTTAATCAGTGATGGTCCACAGTGTTTTATAGCAAGACCCCTGTCATCATGCAACCACTGTGGCCTATGCATGAAGCTCACAGATACCCAATATAAATCCAGTGTCGAATGGACTGGCTACTTAGCAAGACCCTGTCTCAAAATTTAAATAAATAGGAAATGTGACTCAGTGGAAGAGTGCCCCGGGGTTCAATCCCTAGTACACTCCCCTGACAAAATCTATATTGAAGGGGCTTGCAATGTTAGAGCACTTGACTGGCATGCATAAGCTCTTGGGTTTGATCCCAGCACTGGGAAAAGAAAATCCATATTGAAATAGCCCAAGATAGCTTTCTTTTTTACTTTCTTCTTTTAGAGACAGGGATTCTCTCACTCTGTTGCCCAGGCTAGACACAAACTCCTGGGTTCAAGTGCTCCTCCTGCCTTAGCTGCCCTAGTAGCTGACACTATAGTCACGGGCCATCTTGCCTGACTTAAAATAGCTCTTTCCATATGTACAGAATAGAAACCGTAAGCAATAAGAAAGTGTTGCTCATAGTTTAACTGACAGTGTTCTTTTGAGAAAAAGATGTTTTATAATCAATAGTTTTTCTATATGAAGATTATGTGGCATGAGGTCTGCTATTCAGTTGTAACATTCCATCCGATGCCTGTGTTGGTACCAGTTATTAGGAATTTTTGCCCCTCACCTCCCTGGAAGCTCTCTGGTGGCAGTGAGAACCTGTCCCCTCCTCACTTCTAGGGTCTCCAACACCTCATTGTGCATCCTTCCCAAAACGAAAGACTCCCATTTGGGTAAAGGCCTTTTAGGATCTGGCCCTATGGGGCTAACACTTGGTGGGGAAGATGGTGGACACAGCTGCTGGGGCCAGAGCAAAGGTCAGTGAGGGAGTGAGGATGAGGCAGGCGGAGGGTCCATGTCCAAATGTTAAGCTTTCTTCCTCACTACGTCAGGACCTGGGGATCTAAGCAGAGGACACAGGCCAGCTCCCAAGCACACACCGCCAGGTCCTGCTCACCTCCATGGCTGCCATCACACTCCTCTCAATCCTAGAATTTACCTAGAAAGCACGAGGCAGACAGATTCATTTATGGAGATGCTGGACTAACCTAAATGTTGCCTTGGGTGAAGCGCTGAGCCAAAAGGGTTATTCCCATAGGTCTTAGCTCAGAAGTGCCAGGTGGGCGATGTACCTACGCTAATTCCCACCTCCACCCTGGGTCCTCCTCTCTTTCCTTCAAGAGAAGCAAGGATGATACATCAGCAAGATGGCTTTCCCTGCTCCTCATGCTTGAAGGGAGAGAACTGAACCCCTTTAGAACAGGGGCACTCCTGGGCAGCAGAGCAGGAGATTCGGGCTCAGCGGTGATCTGGGAACTGGAAGGCAAAACACGTAGGATTCAGGGGAGAATCAGCCGGAGAGCAGCAGAGTGTGAACCAGGAGTCCCAAACTAAAACACCTCCAGGACCAAAATGGATAAACTAAATGGGTGAAACTGGGATGAAATGAAGACAGTGGGCTGTGGCCAGGAGGGAGGTGTGGGTGTGGGTGTGGCTGGAGGATAAGCTGTGGAGGATATATGTCACACCCACAGCACTGCAATGAAAAAAGAAATCTGCCAGGTTGAATCTTAAGGTCACTTTTTTTTTGGGGGGGGGGTACCAAGGATTAAACCTAGGGGTCCTGAACCACTGAGCCACATCCCCAGCCCTTTTTAATATTTTATTTAAAGACAGGGTTTCTGCTGAGTTGCTTAGGACCTCGCTTTATTGGCCCTTACAGGAATCTCCAAATTGAGACCTAGAGGGGGGAATGGGGATGGAGGGGTGGTGGGCAGGAATCCATTACCAGAGGAAAAGGAAATGGATCTTGGGTGAACAAAAGCAGCACACACCCTTTCTTGCAGAGGGATGGATTTCCAGGCAGAAGAGACTGCATGGGCAAAGGCCCAGAGGTAGAAATAGCTTGCATTGTGTGGTGTAAGATTTGAAACTGGAATCAAGAAAGATGAGATGGCGAGGAGATGAGCTGGCTCCAGACCACAAAGTGGTAGGTCAGAGGATTTGGACTGTGTCCCAAGATCAATCAGATTCAAGCTGGAAAATGAGATAAGCCTATTTGTAGTTTAGATCCAGTCCACTGCAGGAAGGTGCATTTGAGAGGGCAGAGTGGAGGCAGAGAGTCAGGAGGAGGCTGTCCAAGAGGACTTGAATGCAGGTCATGCCCATGGGGTTGGAGAGAAAGGAAAGCAGGCAGGAGATGGAGAATCTGCAAAGCAAAGCCTCAGGGACAGAGGGAGCCCTTTGGGTTCAGGATGGAGGAACGATGGGGTGTGGCTGTGGGGGTGGGGAGGGAGGGATGGGTGGCAGAAAAGGAATCTCACACCTCCTTGGGATCTTCCTGTCTAGCTGGCTACACTTCCTCTTTGCCTGGCCAGTCTCAGACTAATCCTGGATCATTTCCCCAAGTTGCCCCATGCCCAGATGTAAAGCTAATTTGGCAAATGTGCCCATCAGATCAATTTGCTAAATGAAAATCATATACTGCCATCAGTATATGATGCACCAGTGCGGACTGGTGGATGGGAAGAAAACAAGAAATGACTGAGTGTCCTGACCCAGTACATGTCCCCTTCCCTTGGTTAATGCTTGTGGGGGGTGGTGTTAGCATCTTCATTTTACTCACAAGGAAATCAAAGCTTTATAAAGTTAAGAGAGCTGCTCAAGGTCACCCATCAATAAAGTGGGTGGGGCAGAATTTAAAATCTATCATTAATAAGTGTTTCTTGAACACCTATTATGTGCCAGGAACTTTTCCAGATGGTGAATATGAAACTATTAGTAAAAGAAAATAAAATTATCTGACCTCAGGGAGATTATATTCTTGTGTTTGGTTGGGGTGGAGGTGGGGAAGAACAGACAATGAAGAATCCTTAAGGAAAAAATATAGAACGCCAAATCCTCAAGTAACCACCAGAGGGCACTGCAACCACACCACCTTCCCTTCTCTGATTTTTGACACTGGATTCTGAAGACAATAGCCAAGATGGCAATGAATACCAAGTAGAGCATCTGTTCAAGAAGAAAGCTGAGGAACAACTTGAAAGCTGAAATGGGAGTTTTTCATCCACTTTTCTAGCTGAATTTCTTCATCAGATCCTCATCGGACTGCCCAAGGCACCTCAATTACTTTTCAAAGCCCTGTGAACTTCAAGTTCACCAGCCCATCAACACCCACCCCCTCCATTAATCTATTGCTTATCTGATTCCCCTACCCACCCACTCAGCTTCTATCCATCCTCTTTCTCACCTACCCACCTGCCTGACCACCCACCCCATCCACCAAATGCTGTTCCATCTACCCTCCTGACTACCCATATATACTAAGCACCCCATATGCTTCCATCTACCCATTCCTCCTTCCACCCCTCTCCAACTACCAACTGATGCTATGGACACCCAAAGCTAGGCCACCCAATCTACAGGGTCAAAGAGGTCAAAGCAGGTTGTCAGTGGACTGCCTCAGTGGGCTTGAGATTTTGTGTGCCACAGCCAATGAAGGGTGGAATCAGACATTCTTAGCAAACCAAGCTGTATCTTAAAATAATTCAATTTTGGATTAAAAACATTCCACTGTGGTTTTATTCTGGGGACTCATACATTACTTTGTCGCTAGCCTTCCAAGACAATAGAGTAGGTAAAATTCCATAAATGTTTCAGCATCTCTATACTTTGTTCCAATGACTTCCTGAGTCATAGATCATTTTGGCAGTTACTCAGTAACATTTAAGGCCAGCTCTCTGAAGCCCTAAGTAGCTCAAGATTGTGAAACAAAACTATAAATACCTAAGAAAATCTGACCCCAGACAGGGCACAGTGGCACATGCCTGTAATCCCCATAATTCAGGTGGCTGAGACAGGATCAGAATTTCCAGGCTAGCACTGGCAACTTAGCAAGACCCTGTCTCAGAAAAATAAATAAAAGAACTGGGATTGTGGCTCAGCAGTGAAGTACCTGTGGATTCAATCCTCAGTAACACACACACACACACACACACACACACACTCAAACATCTGACCACAGGCAATGAATAACTTCTTCTATTATTGATTTCTCCCCAGTATATGTGAACTTTCCTTATTTTAGATAATTATTGCTCTTCTGATGACTAGAATACAGCACAGCACATCTGGAAAATTAGCGAGGCAAAGAGATCATACATATCTTTAGTTTGGTGACTTCCTGGTAACCTCTTTCATCTCTTTCCTCTTTCAGTTCTTCACCTAAGTCAGGAGCCTCACACAGAACCAATAAAGAGCTGTCCTGCAAATTGTGTTCTCCTAGGTGTGTGTGTGTTTGTGTGTGTGTGTTTGTGTGTATGTGTGTGTGTTTGGTACTAGGGATTGAACTCAGAGACACTCAACCACTGAGCCACATCCCCAGCCCTATTTTGTATTTTATTTAGAGACAGGGTCTTACTGAGTGCTTAGTGCCTCACTTTTGCTGAGGCTGGCTTTGAACTTGCGATCCTTCTGTCTCAGCCTCCCAAGCCACTGGGATTATAGGTGTGCACCACTGTGCCCAGTTTGGATGCTCTTTTGCTTTGGTGTTTGCAATGCTTAGGAAGGAAGCTTTGAGCATACCACTGAGTCACACCCGGAACCCCATTTGGACACTTTTCAACCAAAGGAAAAAAGCAAGCAGAGGACTCAGTTCTTTTTCCCATCTTGCAAAATAACAGGTGAAAAAGCTGAGAAGCCGGACACTAAAGAGAAGAAACCTGGAACCAAGAAGCCCGATGCCATTGGCACAGTTTAAAAGGGAAATCCTAAGGTTAAGGCGCCCAAGAAATGGAGACCCAGTGCAGCCCAAAACCTGTCCTGATTAAAGGAATTGGCAGAAATACAAGATAGAGTACTCAGCTGCTAAATGGAACATTGAAAGAAGGAGGTTCTTCTGTCACAAAACCAATCGGTGGTGACAAAAACCATGGTACCAGGGTGGTTAAACTTCACAAAATGCCCAGGTACTATCCTACCAAAGATGGGCAATAAAAGTCATGGAGCCTGGGCATAAATCCTTCAGTGTGAGCATCGCTCCGGCACCATCTCGTTCATCCTCAGTGAGCGCCACAGAGGAAGAGAGCAGTTTTCCAGAAGCACTTGAGCAGTGGCTTGCTACTTGTGACCGGACCTCTGTCCCTCAATTGAGTTCCTCGCATAGAGCACACCACAAATCTGTTATCACCGTCTCCACAAAAGCTGATATCCGCAATGGGAAAATCCCCAACCATCTCTGATGCTTAATTCAAGAAGCAGAAGCTGCAGAAGCCCAGACACCAGGAAGGTGAGATCTTGGACGTGAAAAAAGAGAAACACAAGATTACAGAGGTTGACCAGTTATTCCTTAGCTCCAGGGCTACATGTGATCCGTTTTCCTCTAAAAAATGGAATTATCAGGGTGGGTTGTGGCTCAGCGGTAGAGAACTCACCTAGCATGTGTGATGCCCTGGTTTTGATCCTCAGCACCATATAAAAATAAATAAATAAAATAAAGGTATTTTATCCAACTACAGCTAAAAAATAAATATTTTTAAAAATGGAATTATCCTCACAAATTGGTGTTCTAAATTTCTTACCAAGAATCTAAGTAACTGATATAGTTTTAAAAAGAAAGGTTCGTTCTTTCTTCCTTCCTTCCTTTCTTTTCTTTTATTTCTTTCTATTTATTTTTGGTACTGGGGATTGAACCCAGGGATCACTAAGCTACATTCCCAGCCCTTTTTATTTATTTATTTATTGGCGCTGGGGATTGAACCCAAGGCCTTGTGCATGCAAGGCAAGCAGTCTACCAGCTGAGCTATATCCCCAGCCCTTATTTATTTATTTATTTTTAAATTTTGAGACAGGGTCTTGCTAAGTTGCTTAGGCCTGGCTAAACTGCTAAGGCTGGCCTCAAGTTGTGATCCTCCTGACTCAGCTTCCCAAGTTCCTGGGATTATAGGCCTGTTCCACCACACTCATCCAAAATATTCCTTTCTTTAAAGCTGAATACAAAACATGCTTCCCGCTTTAAAAAATAATAAGCAATAAAGTCCTGGTAAATCTCACTAAAAACCAAAACAATACTTAATTTGAATTTTTGTACAATCTGCTTTGTTTTTCAATCTGTTATGAGCCCAAAAGGGGAACTCACTGAGACTTTGCAGTTTTTTTAGATGAAGGATTACAGTTAATATATTTTTATATTGTTGGTATAGTAATTACCTAAATTGGATGTAAGATTTCAAGGGCCAAATCAAGTCTTACACATTTTATTCCTGACTAATTAATTCCATTGGATGAAAAGTCTGTTGGGGAAAACACAGAACATTTGGAAGAACTGTTTACACAATCTATGAGTCAACGATCTGGTGACGCTCTGAGTATAAGAATTAAAGCAGAATTCCCCAAAAAAGTTCATCATAAATTTTCTGACATGTTTAATTCACTCCCCCGTTAGTTAATTTACTTACCAGCATATAAAATGAAGAGAGTTAAAAAAAAATCCCCATCCACTCCCATCCCCCTGAGATAACCACTTCTAAGGGGCTCTGCTTTTAATTCTTCCAGAAGCTTCCTCTCGGATTGTAAAGACGGATCTTTTATAGCTTTAAGAATGTGTTGTGGGTTGGAGATATAGCTTAGTTGATAGAGTGCTTGCCACCCATGCACAAGACCCTAGGTTTGAGCCCCTGTACCACACACACACACACACACACACACACACACACAAAATCACAGGCCTGTCATACCAGCGACTGGGAAGGCTGAGGCAGGAGGATCACAGTTCAAAGCCTCAGCAAGGGTGGCGAGGCACTAAGCAACTCAGTGAACCCTGTCTCTAAATAAAATGCAAAATAGGGCTGGGGATGGAGCTTAGTGGTCGCGAGCCCGAGTTCAATCCCAGTATCCCCTCCTCTCAAATAATGAGATGTGAAGGACAAAGAATTTATCTCACTCACACTTTTTCTCTTATTTTTCCTTGTTTTAATTTTTTTCTTCTTTATTTTTTTAAAACAAGAGTTTCTTTTCTTAACGCTAAAGTATATGAATCTATAGTAGTTAAAAATGTGACAAAGGTACTTCACACAGGTGACAGCTGCTGTGTACCACTGCCACTAGAAGGGCACCGTCCATCAGACCTTAACCTTGGGAACATTCTGCTGGATGCTGCACATGAGATGCAAGGTGCAGATTCGGGGTTGGAACGCAGGGTCATGGCTGATCCCAAACTTGGGCCCATTCTGTGCCCTTCCTTATTCTGCTCCGGAATTCTTCCAGGGCCAAGACGGAGACGCTCCTGCAGTGAACATCTGGATTACCTGTCCTGACCGCTTGGCTCTGCAAACTGCCTCTGCGCTGGTATCATCCTCCCGATATGGCTACCACGAGGAAGAGAAGACGGCCCCCAACCGTCTCCGCAACCCAACAGAAATGTCTCTCCTCTCTCGTGGGTCCACGCTAAAGGTCTGACCTGATTGGTCACATTCCCAGACCTTAGCCAATCACACTGGCCAAGGAGGGTGGAGGTCTCTGCTGATTGGTCAGGTTGCAGACATGTGACCTCCGCCTCCAAAGCGTCTTGGGAGCCGCTCACTCGGATTCCAGGTGGGGGTTGCCATGATTCCCTAGAGCAGGGTGCAGAGTGGAGCCTCTGCATCCTCTGCCCTGGGCAGTGCCTGCCCATACCTCCTCCCGCACAGCACTGTCTTCTGTTCTCAGAGGTATCCATGGCAACCCTCCTTTCCTTCCTCGCCCCATTACACTTCTGAAAGAATAGCAGGACTTCCTGTGTGGAAGTCGGATTTGGGATTTGCAGCCCACTTCCAGGCCTGCTCTTGTGTGAGGTTGTAGTCAGTTATCAGTCAACAAACATTCACTGAACACCTACTATGTGCCAGGGTCTCGATAGGTGATGGATCCAGGGATTACCCTAACTGATTACCATTCCTGTCCTCAAGGAACTGACATTGTAGTGGAGAGTCTCACAACCAAGCTGTCATTCAGGGATCTAATCATTGCTTCCTCACCATCAGTGTCTCCATCTTCTGCGTTTGGGACAGTGGTCCTCACTGGTCTTCAACTCCTGCTTTTGGATCTGCTAGTAGATTCCAATCATCATCTCCTGGGAAAGGGCACTACTTACATTTTTATTCATAGTCTATCGACTGCTTATCATTATAACATAGTCTATCAAATTCCCCTTTCTCTATACTTTGTTTTAAAAACTGAGATATTGATTTACATACCATAAAATTCACCTCTTTAAAGTGTTTAATTTGGTGGTTTTTTGTATTGCCATAGAGTTGTGCAACCATCACCACTATAAAATTTCAAGACATTTTAACAGCCTCCCCACCAAGAAACCATATCCATTAACAGTCTTTGCTCATGTCCCACTTTCCTTAGGCCACTGGCCACTGTTAAAGTCCTGATTCTACAGATTAGCTTATGCTCAATATTTCACATAAATAGGTTAGTACAACATGTGGCCCTGTGTGTCTGGCTTCTTTCATTTGTTGCCAAAGTCATTCATGTTGTATCATGTATCAGTACATTTCTTTTTTAAAAAAAATATTTATTTTTTAGGTGTAGATGGACACAACACAATGCCTTTATTTATTTTTTTATGTTGTGCTGAGGATTGAATCCGGGTCCTGCCTGTGCTAGGTGAGCACTCTACCACTGAGCCACAATCCCAGCCCTCAGTACATTTCTTTTAATGGCAGAATCTTTCGTTGTATAGATATACCACATTTTATTTATTCATCAGTTGTAGGAATGTATGTTGTTCCACATGATGCTATGAAAATTCAGGTACATGATTTTTTTTTTTTTTGTCCTGGGGATTGAACTCAGGGGCACTCGACCACTGAGCCACATCCCCAGCCCTATTTTGTATTTTATTTCGAGACAGGGTCTCACTGAGTTGCTTAGTGCCTCCCTTTTGCTGAGGCTGGCTTTGAACTTGCGATCCTTTTGCCTCAGCCTCCCGAGCTGCTGGGCTTATAGACATGTGCCACCACACTTGATAGCAAATACAGGTTTATTTCCTTCTCTCCAAAGTGGATGCCTTGGTTGGGGATTTAGCTCAATAGCAAAGTGCTTACCCAACATGTGCAAGGACCTGGGTTCAATATTTACTATTGCATTAAAAAAAATAGCCTTCCATTTTGGATGCCTTTTATTTCTTTTTCTGGCCCAGGGGTTTCCATCTCCACATACATACACACAAACCTGATTGGGCTCATCACAGGTTCCCAGAGAAGTACACAGTTACATACATGCACACACGAGTACTCACGCACCAGCAGGAGGGGGCTCTATAGCAAGAGCCACTACTAAAGGTATTTATTTCTCATTTGACCCATCTGTTCTTTGGTCCCTTTTTCCTCCTTTTTTTGGGGGGGTACTGGGGATTTGGGGACTTAACCTGGGATGCTCAGTTACTGAGCTACATCCTCACTTGTTTTTATTTTTTTGAGACAGGGTCTCACTGAGGCTGGTATTAAACTTGTGATCTTCCTGCCTCAGCTTCCCAAGTTGCTGGGATTACAGGCATGTGTCACAACACTACCTTTTTTCTGCCTTCTTTTGAAATCAAGTATTATTTTTCCTCCTTTTCCCCTCTTTACCCCCCCCCCCCACTTCTTTCTTTCTTTCTGAGGGTGTGGGTACCGGTATTGAAACTGTCACAGGAAAGCAGAGAGCGAAAACTCCAAACCTTGGACAAAAAAGAAATTTAGTCAGACACCCAAATCCATAAAGAGAACTTTATTATAAGTGAAATTGAGAAAATTGAGATGAAAGTAAAGTGAAAGCAAAGTGAGGCTCAAGCAGAGAGCACTCTCAGAGAGAGAGAGAGAGAGAGAGAGAGAGAGGACATTTCTCAGCAGAGAATGACAAGGGTTACAATGCTGCCTCCAAATTTATTACTGTTTGAAGTTTACCAGGAGAACTGGGGTCCTCTTCCAGCAACCTTCACCAATCAGGTGCCCAACTCCTCCTCCTTCACGTCAGATGATGGAGTTTTTGACCTTAATTGGTCCTCTCCAGAACTGTCATTGTGGCCATCCTATTTAGGGGGGCTTCATCTACAAGTCAATCCTGTTAATGTGGACACTGGGGCCAGTAGCTGGTCAGAGGTTATCCTAGCGTGTCACCACTGAAGGAATCCTCCTTCCCAGACAATAGAAACACTTACAGCCACAATCCCGAGTTTCATACCAACCTCAATGGACCTTGTCAAGATTTAGTCACATTAGTTCTTTTCTCTTGACATATTTTCCAAGTTAACTCCTTTGTTTTCATTTATTTTCTACAAATTAACGACCATCTTTTGCTTTCTTGTCCATCTTGAAAGTGTTTAAAGGAAAACCCTATAGCAATTTAAAGAACACTTGTGGCCTTGGCATGCATTTCACTGCTCGCTGCTAATTATTACCTGACAAACGAGGGGTGCTTTACCACAGAGCTGCACCCTCAGTCATCTTTATGTTTTTGTTTTTTTTTTAAAGAGAGGAGAGAGAGAGAGAGAGAGAGAGAGAGAGAGAGAGAGAGAGAGAGAG